GATTTGTCGTTGTGTTTTCTGACTTGTTCATTTGTTTTCAGATTTGTCGTTGTGTTTTCTGACTTGTTATTTTGTTTTCGAATTTGTCATTGTGTTTTCTGACTTGTTATAATGTTTTCTGAATTGTTGTTGTGTTTTCTGAATTGTTATTTTGTTTTTTAGACTTGCATTTGCGTTTGTAATTTGTTATTTTGTTTTCAGAATTGTGATTTGTTTTGCACTTCTCGGCCACCGTAGCTTTGACAGTTGTAGATTTGAAAAACAAAAAGGTGGGAATAAAAAACTCTAAACACTAACAGAAAGAATCAGTTCAGCACAAAAGGTTTCTTCAGGATGATATGGATCTAAATAGAACTGTTACTATGTGTAAAAAAACAAACAAAAAAACAGTATATTATGCCAGTATAATAAACTGATGCATACTAAAATGCTCCACGTTGAGTGGGGTGCGCTGCAAAATTCACATGGGTGTTTGAAATTTGAAAATGTTTTGAAATTTGTATTTAAAAACATGCAGGATATAGCCCAGTTGCCGGGGCCTAGTCATGTCCCTGTCTGTAAGCACGATCAATTTATTTTAAATATATTATCTTAGAAGTAAATCTTGATTATTTGTCACATGTTATTCTTGATGTTTATGTAGCAGTATTGGAATAATTAATCGCCCCTTTTCCTTTTGCAGATAACATCATCCAATTCATCTGAACATATCCGTGCTACCTTTTGCCTACCTGTGCAGCAGCAGACATGCATGGTTCTGAGGAGAGTGCATCTGGAACTGTGCTTCATAGGCTTATGCAAGAACATCTCAGATACGGAACAAGTGGAATCAGAGGAGGGGTAGAAAACGACAGTTCTCAGATGCCAAGCAACCTTGCGTCTACAGTAAACCTACTCCTTCAAAAGGAGGGTCAAGTAGCCCATTCATATCAGCTTATGCCCCTGCAGTCGCAGTCTCGACAGGAACCTCAAGGTCAGGAGCATCAAGTGGACAGCAGCTCCATGGAAAAAGCTGGTGGTGTGAGCCAGGATGCAGGTAGAGCAGTCCAAGCGGCCCAGATTTTGTCTGGGTTTGACACCTGGAGCTTCCATTGTATGAGGAGGCTAAAATCCAGTCTCAGCTTTACAGAGGACAGCAAAGTCCGATGGACCCTCAGTCCCAAATCCCTGGCCACAGCCACCAGAGTCTTCAAAATCCAGATGACCTTTCAAACAATTTTCAACACAATCAGGACCAGAACTTTCACAAAGAGGGCCATAAAAACACTGTCCACCAAAGTCAGCAGCAGCACAACCCGGTTCAGCAGATACAACAGTTGTCAACAATGTCTGACTGTCCCACAAGCTCACATTCCTGTCTACCATTACTTTCTAACACATACTCACTCTCTTCCCCTCCTTCTCTTTCGTCTTCTTACACCTCTCTCTCAGCGGTTCCCATGAAGGCGCTTTTGGAGGGTCAATCATCGGTCCAGCCAGGAGGCACTGGTGGTACATTTCTTTGTGATGAAGGTCTGGCAGAGTTGAAACAGGGTCATGTTCGCTTTCTAAGTGAAAGGATCATGCACCTCAGTCTAGAATGCAGTGAAGCTAAGCAATGTTTAGGACCATCCAATTCACCTTGCACAGGAGACACTACTCTTTGTGGGGCTGATAATACAGCAGATTCTCTCTCACTAACTAGTAAGACCTCCATGAGTACCCTACAACTTCCACCACCACCCTTAAACCCTCCACAGTGGACTTTGGATCAAAGAGGTCCTCCCCCAGAATATCCCTTTAAATTCAAGTTACAGACTATGACTTCGCCCACATTACACCCCAACTCGGACTCTCTGGAACATGGTCACTTCAACAGTGATACCTTGACAGCAGCCATGTTGGAGACAGTGCCACTTAGAAATATAGCAAGGTAATGGTAACAGAAACTTAAAGGTGAATTGTGTAATATCTGTACTACTAGCAGCACCAATTGGAACTACAAAAATAATGCTTTCCAAATTCCCCTAAACAGCTTTTTACGGGTACAGGATTATTACATGTCATTGGCTGAGCCAAACACTGACATGTTGGGCCATTAAAACAAACAATGTTTTTATGGTGGCTCAATGTTTATACTGTAAGCCAACATACCAGTGACTTATTTATAGTTGTCTCTGCATTAAATTAACTCCTGTCTATTCAACTTGTATATGATAAACTGTTTTAAATTCGAAAAATGTACACTTTTCACCTGTTTCACTCACTGTCTTTCTGTATTTTAGACAGTGCCCTTTGTCTACATCACAGCACCAAACACAGACCAGTCCCATGACTTCTGAGACTTGTATCCTACCCTCACAGGCTTATCAGCAACAGTATCAGGCTATATCCCTATCTCAGTCCCTGGCATTTCCTCCAGCTCAGCCTGGATCTGTGACTCAGGGGCTGTTTTCTTGTGTGGCCCCTTTTGGACAGCCTTTCCCAGGGGAAACATTTGCCATGGTAAGCCATGCCAAGCAGATGCTGGAGAACCTAAAAGAAGAAAACCAAAGACTTAGACAAGAACTTCACAAGCAAAATGAGAAGGCCAGCAAACTACAGCGGGTACTTTGTCTGTGTGTCTGTCCACCTGTCTGTCTATCTTATAATATTAGAAGCAAAGAAGAAACAGAATTTGGGGTTCTGATAATCAAAACTTCTCATTATTACAGACTATTTACTGTCTAAAGTGCTCTTATAATACAAACTAATATGGAATTGTGCAAAGTAATATTGAAAATACAGTGTAGTTATTACACGTGACAGGAAGTGGTTCATAAAGGACATAAACTTTAATGGGAATGTGGGGCTGTGGTTATGAAAATATTGTTGGGATACTGCCCAGTATGATTGTAATGCAGCACACTGACAGGAGGACATTGTCATGCTTATACTATCGTGCAGCTTTAATTGGAATTTATGCTGTATTTCCAGTTGGAGGCGGAGACTGTGCACCTGTCAGAGGCATATGAGAGTTCAGTGAAGAGCTCATCCAAACGGGATACTCTGGAAAAAACTATGAGGAATAAACTAGAGGCAGAGATCAGGCATCTTCATGATTTTAACAGAGACTTGAGAGGTGAGGTTGTTTATAATGCCCATGCTTTTAGAAACCGCATTTTATTCAAAATGGAAATTCAAAAATGTTATTGCTGAACTTTGTGAGTTGGTAGTTATAGCATAGTTGTGGTAGTTATTAGAGCCCGACCGATATATTGTTTTGCCGATATTATCGGCTGATATGAGCCTGTCGCAGATATATTGGTATCGGCGAATATGCAGCCGATATGAACTTTTTTTTTTTTTTTACAGAACATATAACGCAGATTAAATGCTTCTGAATGGTGTAATTACTTAGTTTGTCCAGCAGAGCGCGCTCAATTGTTTGCTACTGGCCACCCAGGTCACTGCAGTGTAGAGATTCGCGGATGTGCTCCAACTTCACCCGAGTCCGCTGCTTCAAATTATCCGCGGGACACCCACCTGCACCTATATTTGCTAGTCACATTACAATTATTCTAATTCTTAGTTTTGCATGATGATATGATGAATGGATGGTTCATTTTTAACAGCAGATTCAGTGACGTTAGAGACTAGAGCTGATCTGCGTATCACGGCACATGTCTGCGGCGCATTAAAGCCTGGTTACGGCCACCGGAGCTGATCGCGACAACTCAGTCAATGCTGGTGTTTATACCGGCCGTGCCGCAGCCCAGAACTCATGCTTATCACATTGGTCATATCACATTGCGACTATTCGCGAGAATTTCTATTGTATTTTGTCGCACCATGTCACTCGCGTCCGGTGTAGAATAGAATCCATTATAATCAGTGATGTTGTCTGCACTGGATGCAGTAAACTGATGCCTCGTTCTATTTATGACATGCTGACACAAAGTTCAAATGATTTTCAACGGTCGCTTTGTCGCGGCGCAGACACGGTGTCATCATAGTTTGTCAGTGCAGTTAGTAACATAGCAGATTGAAAAGTTCGTATCTTTCTGCAGTCCAATAGACGGCAGTGTGGTGGTGGCTTGAGTCTGTTGAATGGTGATTTAAAGGGGTCATATGCTGCGATTTCGCCAATCACAACGCACAGGATAGCTGGCCAATCAGAGCACACCTCACTTTTCAGGCCGATGAGCTTTGTAAAAATCGACGCGTTTCAGAAAGGCGGGGCATAGAGGAGAAAAAATAATGTACAGTATGTGGAAAATAATGTGTTTTTTGAACCTTAAAACGCATAAACACATTTCATTACACCAAATACACAAAATAATGTTCTTTTTAGCAGCATCATATGACCCCTTTAACGCTACGTTGTCACCTAGTTGGAGAGACTTAATGCTAAGTAAATAAACAACAATGTCCCCGTCTTTTATTTTCGCAATGAGCTTATCATATTCGTTTGCTACATTAGTAGGGCCCTATGATTTCAATCCAGTCATAAAAATGGAATTTACTGTATAACGCGGAATTTCATGTAATTTGTCTTATTTTTGATGAATAAATAAAAAAGAGGCCAGTACATACAGTCATGGGCAAAAATATCAGCACCCTTGGTAAATATGATCAAAGAAGGCTGTGAAAATTAATCTGCATTGTTAATCCATTTGATCTTATATTTAAAAAATTCACAAAAATCTAAACTTTGATTGGATAATAAGAATTTAAAATGGGGGTAAATATCATTATGAAATTAATGTTTTTCTCAAATACATGTTGGACACAATTATTGGCACCCCTAGAAATTCTTATGAGTAAAATATCTCTGAAGTATATTCCCATTCATATTCACAATTTTGAGCACTCCAGGGTGATTATGAACATGAAATTATCCAGCCATGGCTTCCTGTTTCACAGAAATATAAATAGGAGGGAAAACAAAACCCAAATTCCCTTAATCATACATCACATTGAGAAAAACCAAAGAATATATTTCTGATGTGCAGCAAAAGATAATTGAGCTTCACAAATTAGTGAAGTGGCTTTAAGAAAAGAGCTAGAGCATTGAAAATTCCCATTTCCACCATCAGGGCAATAATTAAGAATTTCCAATCAACATAAAATGTTACGAAACTGCCTGGAAGAGGACGTGTGTCTATATCGTCCTAATGCACGGTGAGGAGGAGAGTTTGAGTGGCTAAAGACTCTCCAAATTCTAAAGAAGTGTGTCGTATGTACAGTCATGACCAAAAATATCGGTATATCAAGAAGGAATATCAAAAATACCTCATCAGGCATTATAGGAGAAAATTTAGAGCTGTTAAACTGGCAAATGGAGGTTTCAAAAAGTATTGAATAAATGGGTGCCGTTAATTGTGGCCAATGTGTATTAGAGAAAAACGTTTATTTCATAATGATATTTCCCCCCAATTTTAAATTCTTATTATCCAATGAAAGGTTAGATTTTTGTGAGCATAAACCTGCCCCTGTTGGTTTGGCAGTAGCTTGATTGCCCTACACAGTTACCTTGTTTAATTTTTTAATTCAAGTTATAAATATTTTTTGTAACCTAATTATTTTTGTAATAATTTTTTATTGTTTTTTAAGTTATTTATAATAAGTGAAGTGAAGTTTACTGTTAAGTGCACTGATGTCAGACTCATTTTGAATAATAAAGTTTATTGTTAAATTGTTAAATACCCTGCCTCCACTACATAGGCCTATGTTTGTCACATCATTATAAGTGTTTGATCACCACATTTGAGTTATCATTGCAAAAAAATGTGTTTATGTATATATATATTCTGTTTATGTAGGCTATATACTGTATTCTATATACAGTACCATTCAAAAGTTTGGACACACGAATGGGAAGTGTGTCCAAACTTTTGACTATACTGTACTATAATATAGCCTACACATAAAGAATATAGGCCGATATATCGATATCGGTCTTTTTTTACAGCCTAATATCGGTATCGGCATCAGCCCCCAAAAAACCCTTATCGGTCGGGCTCTAGTAGTTGTAGCATAATATAGTTGTATTTTATTTGTTTGTTTGTTGATTCAGTTTATTTTAGCTGTTCTTGGGTCCTGTGGCAGATCTTTTGTTATTCATGTGTTTTTCAGATCGTTTGGAAACAGCCAATCAACAGCTAGCCAGTCAGGACATGAAGGGACAAGATGACGGACACTTGTATCTTTCACAGAGTGAGATTTTACTTCTTATTGCGAATCATCACAAAAATATGCTTGCATCATCACACAAATATGCTTGATACACATTTTGCTGAATCTGTTCACTGTTAAAAATATATGTCTAGCGGCTCAACTCAAACCATTTCCTGCTTCCCTTCCTTAATGTCCTGTACCTCTTCCTCTCTTGCACTCAAATCTCTCTCTCTGTCTCTCTGGGTATAAATAAAAATTCCATTATTGCTTGTACATAAAAAAAAACAGTTTTCAAAACTGTATTCTTGCCTTACTCCAATTCACTAGTGTAAGCCTACAGTAATGATTTATATTTTACAAATTTCAAGTTAACATTATTCGTCTTTCTTGTTTATATCATGTCAGATATATGCCTTGTAGGACTTGCTTTTTTCTGCCAGTATTGATGCAGAATGACAGATGTGCTCACAGGCAAGCCCTGGTGTACCATATGTAGCAAATTAGCTCAAAAGTGAAATGTATATAAGTAACTACAATTAATTAAAATTAATTGCAATTGTTTATATCAGCTGCCAGTAGTACTGTACCAGAATTAATATTACAATCAACCAATCTGTTCATCCAGCGAACATTCAGTGTAGTTGCGTATCAACTCTAAGAAATTTTATTTTCATGGCCACAGAAAATAATTTCTTACAGTATTAATGCATAAGAGCATGTAATAAGATAGGATCGTAAAAGGGACATTGATTTACAAGCAGTGACAGAATCAGAAACTCAAACTGGAAAGTGAAGACATGGTTGTAGTTGAGGCCTTCCAGGCTTGGCTGGCCAGCCCCGGGACCAGAAGCGGAAGACGGGAAGGTGATGAGAGAAAAGACGAGAGTCAAAAAGCGACTGAGAGGCGGGTCACTGATGTGAGGCCTTTTAACTTCTGTGGGGTCACACCTCTGGGCAGTCAAAGAGCCAAAGTTTACGACTCTTTGTCTTCAAGCATGGTATTTTGCATATGTAACTGGATTGGGTGCTGATGCAAAAACTATTAAAGATTCTTAGAACACTAACATGTTGCATGGGTATCAACATATAATATATACTCTCATTTAGATCATCAAAATACGAACTTATAGATACCAAACATGGAATAGGTGAGGTTATATTAACTAGTGATCTATCATAACACATGCATACAATAATATACAATACAAAATACAATATACGAGAACAGTAATAATACACACAATGACCTAAGGATGTGTGTTCATTCACAGAATGTGAAATGGAGTGAGAGTTGCTCTGCCTGCATTCCTTTGAGTAATAAACCCAGTGATATCAGAAGATTTGTCTTTGGGTGCCATGGAACCAGAGGCCTGTTCCCCTTTTTGAGGTGTTGGTTGCATTTCGGGGAAGGGTCCATAGACCCTCATAGTTGACTTGTTAGTTGACTGATTGGTTCAAACGCTACATACCCATTTCGAACGTTGTTTCCTGTCCAATAGGTAACAGTGAGCGACGTCAAAGGTACAGAACAATCAGACACGCACCTGCCAGTCAAGGCTGGGGGACAGTGGTGGCTGCTGGTGCCTCCAGGAGTGGTTGTGGTGCCATAGAGGATGCTGTCAGGCAGTGTGTTGTGGTGATGTAGGCTGTAGCAAGGTGTGGATCCTCGAGCTTGTGCAGCAGCTGTCGAGATGGTGTCACCTGTCATCCTGAAGTGAGTTGGTCTGGGGCAGATGGTTGTTTGTAGGTGTTGTTAGCAGGGCCGGATTTACCTCTTATTGTAACATAGGCAAAAAAAATTTTGGGCCCCCCCCTTACCTATTACAGTTTTTCTCGATTGCTTAAACACATTTCTTGAAACTATGCCTCGTATTCTCAAAACAGTAAACACAAATCCATAATGTCTCACCCAATTCCCCAAACATCCTATTTTCAGGTCAAAATGAAGCTCTACACTCAAAACCATTCACTCTTGCTGAAAAACCAAACTTTTCCCTCAGACATCACACACAAGCTTTCAAAAACACACACACTACAACATAGTATTACACACTGGTGCAATAAATTCAAAACAATATATCCAAAATTGGTTATGTTGCTTGTGGTTCTCCCCCTCAAAAACCTTTTCACATGAACACAAAAGACACAACCAATGTATACATTGGCACATTTTTATTCATTCATGTACTACACAGCACAACTGTAAAAAAAAATTCATCATCTTATAAAATTAAAAATCAACCCACACTCTTGCTTTTATATGATTTTTAAAAATAGATGCAATTTCACATCCTTCTGACCCTTCAATTTTATTCCTCCTGCTTATATATACTGCCATTTTTGCTTCTCCCACAATGAAATTTAAAAGTTGGCATTTTATCTTGTTTTTTGCTGCATATCGATATCCAAGAATAAAACTCTGAACAGTAAAAATTTCATCTAACTTACCAAACAACAATGTAAGAAAATCAAATAAATAGCACAATCTTGTACACTCCATAAAACAATGAAAAATTGTCTCCTTTTTTTCCACAAAAGGACATAGATAAAAAAAAATTGGGGTTAATAACATGCACAAAAGAATTAACAGCAACTGCGCCGTGTAAAATTCTCCATTGGAGATCCCCCACCTTTTTTTCCAAAGGAGGTTTATAAAAAACTCTCCACACAGGTTTTATACTCTGATCCAAACCTACACTGAACAAAATTATAAACGTAACACTTTTGTTTTTGCCCCCTTTCAGTATAATTTGTCTCTCCAGACAGTATCAACTCTTCCATTTAAAACTTTCAAGTTTAAATTTTTAACACAGCTTCAGTACAATTTTTTGCTGTTAGCCTCATTAATAGTTAGATCCTCTAAATTCTTCAACAATTCCCCATCTGCACCTTTAAAATCAGGAATAATATAAACTTCTGGAAATGGATCCTTGTTATTTGGAACCACCTTTCCTTCACAATAGCTTATAAGGAGACACTTTTCTTCTACCGTAAACTTCTGTTTTAAAAGATCCAGTAATTTCCCTGCTAATCTTGTTGATCTAACTCCAATGCAAGAAGCAACCTTTTGTGAGTTATTTAACTCAGGACCCCCAGCAGCTATTATCTGACACAATTTAACTTTGTATGTGCTCTGCACATTGCATTTTCAAAACCCCATGCAACTTCACTTGAAACATCAAATCTAGCTCCAAACACAGTCAGTTCTTCTAATAACCAATATAAAGACAAACCAAAAGCCCCTCTTCTTTTCTTGAATAAGCTCCATATTCTAAAGACCACTTTATAGAATGGAGTCAGTCCATTCAGCTGAATTTTGCTAGAGTCCATTAAAAACAAAGCAGAGTCCAGTCCCAGGCCTCCAGCTTGACTCAAAATAAAGTTAGCAACATTCCTCCAAACAAGATCTTCAGGTCCAGTTAAAAATCTTTGAATAAATTGTAAACGAAAAGTTGCTCCTCTGCTGGCCAGATGTACTAGTCCTTGTCCCCCTTCCTCCTTAGGGAGATATAGTACACTCTGCGGCACCCAGTGAAACTTAGTCCTAAAAAAAGTCCACAATGAGAGCTTGTAGTTTTGCAAGAAGTCCACTTGGTGGCTCAGTACATGCCAAGCGATGCCAAAATGTTGAAGCCACCAAATTATTGATGACTATAACACGTCCTCTAAATGACATTTTGGGCCACAGCCATTTCCATTTTTCCAGTCGTCCTTTTGTTTTTTCTAAAACACCCTCCCAGTTTTTTTGTAATATTGAATCATCTCCAAGGTATACACCTAAATATTTAAAGCCATTTTTCTTCCATTCAAGTCCAGCAGGTAAATTAGGAAGGCATTTACCTTCCCACTTTCCACATACAATAGCTTCACTCTTAGTCCAGTTTACTTTAGCTGAAGACAGTTTTCCAAAGTCATCAGTTATTATTCTTAGATTATCTACCTCTTCTTGATTATTCACAATAACAATAACATCATCAGCATAAGCCGACAACTTAATTTTAAAATCACATTGTGGTATACCCCAGCCATCAATCTTTGCTCTTATTCTTACTAACTTTGGTTCAATTGCTAAAGCATACAACATGCCTGTTCTGCATTCAAATGCAAGCAATAGGCTTAAGCTTGCCGCAAAGCACCGGCAAAAGTAATTACCATAAAATTTTAAGTACACTCTCAATGTTCCTATACAACACCCCAATCATTTTAATAAAACTCGGGCTGAAACCAAACTCTCTTAGCGTCTGCCAGAGGTAGTTATGCTCAACCCGGTCAAAAGATTTGTCTTGGTCCAAGGAAATGAGACCAACGTTTAAACCCAATGATCTAGAGATATCTATAATGTCTCTAATTAAATAAATATGATCAAAAATAGATCTATTAGGTACACAGTATGTCTGGTCCACATGGATGACCCAACCAATCGCCTCTTTTAATCTAATTGCCAAGGCTTTGGATAAAATCTTAAAATCAGAGCATAGGAGTGACACAGGTCACCTGTTTTTTATGTTTCTGAGGTCACCTTTCTTCGGTAAAAGGGTGATTACTGCTCTTCTGCAGCTCATAGGCAGCAACCCTCTGGTCAAGCTGTCATTGAGCATCTCTAGCAGATCATCCCCTAACACAGCCCAGAGTGACTTATAAAACTCAACAGGGATACCATCAATCCCCCGGGGCTTTCCCACACTCCATACTCTTTAGGGCATCATACAATTCACCTTTCGTAAAAGGTTTTTCCAGTTCAGCATTTGCTCCTTCTGGAACTTTAGGTAGACCCTCATAAAAGCAACTGGCTATCTCTTCCACCTCCGTGTATTCACTCCTGTACAGCTCTGAATAAAATTCCACTGCTCTTTTCCTAATTTCCTTAGGCTCTGTAATTTCTGTGCCAGATTCTGATAACAAAGAATGCATAATTCTATTTAGGCCATTCTTTTTTTCAAGTCCAAAGAAAAACTTGGTTGGACCATCCATTTGTACTGCACTTTGAAACCTTGATCGTACCAGAGCACCCTGTGCCGTAATACCTAACAAATCATTTA